TTCTTCGTAAATTTTCTTTTAAATCGTCTTGAAGCAGTTTTTTTCTTTGTAATTCTTGAACAGATTTCATAGTAGTACTTTAATATCTTGCAGATATGGTTATCGGACGACAATATGGACCAAATGCCGGTTAGTATACAAGTTTTATTCGTATTTTTGTTTTTTTGAGAATACCTATGTAAAGTATATTTAATTGTTAGATGTGGTGTCCTCCTACACCTCCAACAACGGATAACGATGTTTACATTGACTATTCTTTGGGATTTCTTTATGAAAATACACCTATGTCAGAGGCTCAGTTACCTCCGATATATATTAAAAAGGAACAAAAGAGAAGTAGGATCGAAGCTGGAATTAATGATCGCGATGGTAAGTACATATAATATTAAATCTAAGTTATCTTTTCATAAATTTTAGTATATTAAATCTACATTAAATTACTTATTCTGTACACAGGACGCCGGGCAGTTAAAATGAGACATAAAGAGGAATCGGTATATGCACCGAGATCTTTGTTTGATCGGCCTTCACCAGCGCTTATGAAAATACGCCGCGACATGAAATTACATAAATACCGCATAGTTCGGCCGTCGATTCCTTTGTCGGGTATAAAGCCTTCACACATGTCAAAGTCTTCCGGGGACCAAGAACATGTTCTAGATTGGATGATACATGAAGATTGGGCTTTACTTCAAGCAATTCAGATTTATCAAGGACTGCCATTGAATTTGATGATTTTATCCCCTGGTCATACTCCCAATTGGGATTTGGTTGCGGATATAGTTAATAATACTTCTCGAATATATAGATCTCCTAAACAATGTAGAAGCAGATATGAATCAGTAATAGTACCAAGAGAAGAAGGAAAGTTACTGTATGATACCACGCCGAAAAAACAAAAGAAACAAAAGGGCGTTTACAAAATGCCTCAGGTGTCCGAGGTATACCAAGAAATTTTTATTCTACATTTGACGAGAGATGTTTGTTGGAAAGAAATTATCATTTTTTAATCGTCTTCTTTTAGCAACAAAGTAAAACAAACAGGCCAATGAAAACGTCTCAATTATATAATCAGGATAAAAATTATTCGTTTACATTAATGTGCTGCCAAAGGTTTGATACCATTAAATCTGTTTCGAATAAGAGAACGCCTACAGTTAAACCGTTGCTCGTTAATCCATTAATGAAGAATCCTACTAATGCTGCAGTTTTAGCTGAATGTGGTATTCAATATGATAATCCGTTAGTTCCTATAGAAGTTGCAACGCGTCGTGCCGACAGGATCGCAAAAGAAAAGCTTAAACACGCTGTTAGTATAATCGAATGTAACCTTTTAATTATCAAAATTTTTAAACATTTAAAAATTTTATATGATATTTTGTATTCAGGTTATCACAGCGGAGCAACAACAACAAGTAGCGGCACGTCTATTGCAGCAGCAGCAGCAGCAGCAGCAGCAGCAACAGCAGCAGCAGCAGCAACAACAGCAGCAACAGCAACAACAACAGCAGCAGCAACAGCAACAACAACAAGTCCAGCAGCAACAGCAGCAAATTAAATTACAACAACAAGCTCAACAAAATATTTCAAGTACAACAAGTCCTCAGGTGCATCAACTAACGCAAGTTGCAACTACCGTTACTACAGGATTAACTACAATGAAGACTATTACCACAATGACTAATGTTACTACGGGTGGTACGACAGTTGCTACATCGACTGTAAAAGCTCGACCAGGGGGGACGTTAACTATGCAAGATGCACGAACAACACCAACTGTTGTCAGTGTTGGTAATCTTCAAGCTGCTCAAAGAATAGCGACAGCAAATTTAGTATCTGCTGTGCAAAGTTCATCCGCAGTTACGCAGAAAGGTATTGGAGTTACCGTGGCAACGGCTTCCGGTAGTAAAACATTAACACCTGCACAGTTGCAATATTATCGACAGCAGGTTTTAATGCGACAGCAACAGCAGCACCAGCAACAAGTAAAAGCATTGCAAGCACAAGCTGCTGCAAATGGCCAAAAAGTATCGGTAGCTGTTTCAGCTGCTGCTGCCCAGCAAAGAGCTACGTTGATGAAACAGAATATAACTGCTGGTGCTGTTGCACAAACAACTGTTGGAAAACAGGCAGTCGCACGTACAGTATCAGAGACGGAAATGGCTGCTCTAATAAAACGACAAACTTTGCAACAGCAAGCAAAAGCAGTAGCTCAGGTACAAGTACCTGCGCAAGCTGGACTTACTCCGGCTCAAATATTTGCACAAGCAGGTTTACAAGTACAGGCTGGAACATCTGCTGGTGGAACTCCAGTTGCCACATTTGTAAAAGCTACGAATGTTGCCAGTGTACGTACAGCAACACCTCAACAAATCCGTCAACTCGCTCTTCATCCTCAAATTATCACTCAAAGAAAATTGCCAGCGCAAAAAGTCGCCCAACTAACGCAAGTTGCTGGAAAAACTGGTGTACAGACTCAATTGATTGTGCAACAGAAATCATTGCCTGCGACGATGACTGTGCAGCAAATTCAGCAAGTTATGAAACATGTTCAACCCTCAGCCATGCAGCAATTTACACATGTATGTTACATAAGTTACACGTACATTTTAATAATAATACTCTTTTCTTTTTAAATGCTTATTTTTTTGTTGTCTTCTTCTAACGAAATACTACGATTCCAGGTTTCTACAGGACAAACGGTTTCTCAACCTGGTCAAGTAGTTTTAGCAAAGTCTCCGTTACAAACAAGAGTAATTCCAGTTGCGCCCGCTGCTTTGAAACAAACGATCCAAGTTATGACAGCAAGTAGTGCTCAATTGCGTCAAGCTGCACCTGCTCAAGGTAAACCTATTGTTACAACCGCGAGGGGTAGTCCCGGACCTAGTCAAGTTAAATTGCAAACTCTTGCGCATCCTATTCATCCCCAGCAAGTACAGCAGCAGCAGCAACAGCAGCAACAACAAAGTCAACCAGATGCTCAATCGAAGTGAATATGTTTTGTCACATAAGACGTTCAAATTTATTAAATGCTACAAACTTTTCTACTCTAAATTCATATTTGCTGAACAAAACAAAGTCGATATAGAACTTTTATTTGAAAAACAAACTTGAGAACAATGACAACATTCCAGAATATATTGCAAGTAATTTAACTGCAATCGGTTCGATGCTGTAACCGTATTTTCGGTTTAGACAATACACAATTGCAATATTGATATAAAGATCAACACCTTTAACATTCAAATTGTAAAAGGTGTCCCTTTTTTGTATTTCAATTTTGTCTACATAAAATGATATTTAAAAGGAATATCATTTCAGTTTAATCAGTATTGAGATACCCCAATTTTATTGTAGTATATCGTCTTTCAAAATTTGCTGGCCGAATTTGTATATAATATTTTAAGACAAAAATTTTGTGCGCCAATAACTTGAAAGAATTGCAGTGTAGGATTATGACATTATTTGATTTAAATGCTCATACAAATTGATGATGATTGCAAAATTGCAAACAGCACTAGAAGTGGCCGGGCAATATGATTTCATAGCTTAATATTCTATCATAAAAATTTTCGAGTCCATGTGTATTGAACGTTTCGTACTCTAGGTCATTAAAGAGTTTGACGAATTAATTTATACCAAACAATGCAATTTTGTTTAAGAGATATGATGTATATCAAATGATCGCAATGTATCATTCTGAGACGACATGAACAAGTAATTAACGGAAGGGGTACCTTTACGATATAGTCTGGTTGCATGTCGAGGTGTATCTTTCTGGGATTTGTAAGAATATAATAATAAGAAATAATTCAGTTTCGAAAAATACATTTTACTTTTTGATACACACCAATGGGAAAGAGAACCTGTAGAATTTAAAAATTTAATTTGATGATGCGATGTTTATACTAGAATCTTTATCAAATTGTGTAAGATTGTACTAATAATATATATAAATATGTATAATTCGTGTATCATAGACGCTGAAATAAATCTGTCATAAGTAATTCTATGTGTTTCTTATACATTGTGTATACATTACAGTAAATAAATTTTAATAAATCCTTGTTACGACAGTCTGTTTTTACTAATTTAATTAATGCTTTAGTACTACGGCGGTTAAATTACTATTTAATTAATTTTTTAGAATTTCCGTATGTGTACCAAAATAAAGGGTGTTTCAGTAACTTTGCTACAAGGGAATATCCCATTAAGGATTAAGTTGATTCGAAATACTTCATGGTGATATGGGGATCATATTCTTAAGATCATATTTTTCGTCATTTAAAGATCGTCGATGTATTTGCAAATGGGATTATATATTTTTATATCATGCCTTAACCGTTTGAGTCCCAGGAACCATTGGAAAAACGAGGTCGTAAAATGCCGAAGAGCGCGGTAGCCCTTGTCTTAATTGATTGCGAAGAGCTAAGCGGCGCGATAGCGTTCGTTTTATTTTGTGTCGGAAAAAAGAACATGCATTATTTACATTAAAAGAAGAAGCTATGTAATGTACATACGTTAGAAAACTTGAGCGCGATACTTTGACAGTCTGTGAGTGCACCATCAATGGTCCATAGCGTTCAAATACATTGAGATAACAAATTAGACGACTTACAATATCATGACCTTCATATGACCTTAAGTGTGAAAAATTTTTTAAATTTTAGAAATGAGTGCGAATACTGAAATAACTACAATAGACAGATAAATAATGAGAAATTTATTGTAATAAATGTTTAAAATGATCTCTATTATTTATACCAACTACAAATCTTTAAAGTTAAAATTGTGACAATTAAAAGAGTTACAAAAAAATGACATTTCAAGAGGTCAAGAGGATCATGATATTTTATCAAAACACAAATTCTTCGAAAACTTCTTCACGATATCAGAAATATCTGAAAAGCTTTGACAACGCTTTGTATATTACTCGATACTGATAATGTACAATCAATCTTTGATAATTTGTTCTTTAATTAGTTTCACTAATTAATTTTAAATTATAATATTCATAAATATGGAATACTAAAATATGTAATTAAATTTCTATTCCTATGTCTCATTATCTGCATATTATTTCCATTTTTTTATTCTTATTACGCAGTAAATAGCTTGTTATTTCAAAAGTCATGTCACTTAATTTTGCATGATTTGTGTAGATAACTTGCATGATGACCGTACTTATATAATTGTACATACGCAGCTTTAATCAGTGTCTTAAAGAAGTTGATCGTATTAACTTATACGTATTAAATCATGGCAGTGTTATATTCTTTTATTATTGATATTTTTCTTATGATTGTTATTTTTGGGGCAATCTTGTTTTTATACATAAAATATAAGTTCACCTATTGGCAGAGACGAGGTGTTCGAACATTGCCTAGCCATTGGTTTTTCGGTAATATGAAAGATATAATAAAATTTCAAAAATCTCCTGCTTTTGTGATTGGAGATTTACATCAGAAAGGTTCTGAAGATGACGACGTTCTGGGAATTTATATTTTCCATAAACCATTCTTACTGTTGAGGAGTCCAGAACTGATTAAGCAAATTTTAATTAAAGACTTTAATTATTTTCCGGATCGTTATTTTACGGCTCAATCATTTAAAGATCAAATTGGAAGTTCAAATCTCTTTACGATTCATAATCCCGAATGGAAATACTTAAGGTATCGTTAATGTTAAAGTAAAAATCACTATAGGAACCAAATTTCTGAAGGTACGTTAAAGAATTTTATCGATGACTGTATATTTCTGTTAGGACCAAATTAACACCGGTCTTTAGCACTGGAAAAGTTAAAAAAGCTTTCAATTTCATCAATGAAACCGCAGAAGCGATGAACAAATATTTAGAAGAGCAGTTTTTAAATGGCACGAAAACGAAAACTATCGTAATAAAAGATATTGCGACGAAATATACAACTGATATCATATCTTCCATTGCTTTTGGAGTTCAAGTAAATTCGTTTGATCCTGCACAGGTGCAATTTTTCGAAAAAGGTAACTATCAAAAAATGTTTAACATTGTATATTACGTTTGAAACTTTATATAATGTTCTTTTTCTTTTAAAAGCCGAGAAAGTTTCAGAAGTCACACCTTGGCGCGCTTTTCAATTCTTTTTAATGTTTTTCTTCCCACGACTTGCACTGTACGTCGGTGGTCAAATGTTAGGGACATCTACAAACTACTTTCGTAAAGTATTTTGGGATTCCATGGATAGCAGAGAGATGTCGAACGTTAAACGAGGGGATTTGATTGACTCTCTATTGGATTTGAAAAATCAAAAGCAAGGAGATGAATTCAGTCGGTGTCAAGTATTTGATATTAAATATTACAAAATATTATTTAATTATTTTGCCATTCATTCGAAAAGTAATGATATTATTCATAGAATTTGATGGTGATGCATTAGTAAGTCAGTCAGCAATTTTCTTTATTGCCGGGCGTGAATCAAGCATAGTGACTATATGTTTTACGCTCTACGAACTCGCTAAATATCCAGAAATTCAAAAAAAAGCACGAGCAGAAATTCACGAGAAACTGAAGGAACATGGAATGAATTATGAGGGTGTACTGAGTATGAAATATCTTTATCAAGTTATGTCAGAAACCCTACGACTATATCCTCCCGCTCCGCTCCTTGATCGAGTTGCCGTAACGGATTACAAGGTAAAATTTAAATTAAAATATCAATTACTGTCATTATTAATTATTATAATGTTATTGTATAATTAATAATTTTATATAATTTCTTTTACTCTATGGTTAGCAGGATAATAATTTATGCATTTATATAATATATTATGCAATAGACGAATATAGAATTCAAAAAGTAAAATGTATTTTATCTATTATTAAAAATCTATTATATGCTATTGGAATACTTAGTAATCACATAACATGTCTGTGATTATTAAATTTTTAAACAAACATCTAAGTTAGATATTTGTGTGAAAATTCGCTCAATTATTTTTTACTGTATTATATTTGAAATTTGTTTCAAGAATGATACTTATTGTATATTTCTTAGATACCAGGCACTAACATAGTTATAGAAAAAGGAACACCTGTCTACATAGCTTTGACTGGTCTTCACCGAGACTCGAGATTTCATCCAGATCCTCTATGTTTCAATCCTGATAGATTCAGTGATGAAAATAAAGAAAATGTCACGCAATGTACATACATGCCTTTTGGTGATGGACCAAGAGTTTGCATTGGTAGATATATTATTTATTGTAAAATATTCTTGTAATTTTAGAATAATATAGTTAATTTTTATTAATTAACGAAATATTCATTATAGGAACTCGACTCGGTTTATTGCAGTCCGCTGTAGCTTTGATTGCAATACTTAAAGATTACGAAGTTTCGTTAGATCCTACATTTAAAGGTGACGTTGATATCCGTAAGGTTTTTTTATCGCCAGTAGATGGATTCAGAGTAAATTTGACAAAATTATAAGCAATCTACGAGAGGATAAGTTTTTAGAAAAATATATATTTTTTTTATAATATAATATATTTACTAATCTGAAATAATAAAGAAGCAATTTAATAAAATATGATAATATATATTTTCTTTTATGTACAAATTTGTTGGTACACATAAATTTGTTAATACTATTATGCAGGAAGTTTTTTTAAATGCATTATTTATTATCGTTTCATTTTGGTAATAATGTTAAATACTTTTTAAATTCTGGAATCACACATTCCCGTGGATTTAATGGGGTTTTCGCTGTAAGATAATCGCTCAAATATTGTGGCATAAAACAAAGAATACCTTTGCTAGCCAACATTGCCCAATCGATCGGCTGACTGACTTGTCTAATATTAACAAAACAGTGACTAATCCTTTTACCAGTTGGGCTTGTATCATATGGGGGCCTAAAACAAACAGTATATTTACTCTATAGATAATATGATGCTAATAAAAAAACAAAAATAATCTTACCTTGCCTGAACAACTTTACCACCTCCAGCTTCGATTAATCTTTTAAACTGGTCGTATTTGTCTCCAGAAGCTAATAATAAAGCAACCATGTTATAAAACGGTCCATTTGGTTCTTTTAATAATTTAAGCCTCCACTTATATGCAGCTGCTGCAATTGCTTCTTCAACTTCACCAATAGGGTCTGGTATAATGCCTTTACTTTTTGGATTCCCCCATTCATAATTTTCTTCCTATAATTAAAGTCACATACAAAACTTATATTAGATAGAAAATAAAGCTAATAGCTAATACCAGTTGATACCAACATCAAGAAATTTTCCTTCTTGCTCCGAATCTCGTAGATACATGCAATGTAGAATCCATTTTCCCGATGCTATGCTTCCAAGCATTTTTTCGTTCCTTGATGGTCTAAGACAAAGTAAATGTGTTGCACTTATATCAAAATTACTGTCCGATGATACGTCGCCACCAAGACTTTTTATTACTTGTTCGTATGCTGTTCTATCCTATTAGAATAAATGTGTTTATAAAATAATACTATTATGTATAGTATATATTTCAAATAATATACCTTTACACCAGACAGCATAAATTTTGATTTCTGTGGAAGTTCAATTTCTTCTTCTAATGATTCTCTTTCATCAACGTTTGTAGCGTGATCTTCGTGTGCAATACTTTCATTATGTTCTTCATGCGTCAACTTTGAATGTAAAAACAATAACATTTACAGCTAATTGATATCAAATGTTTAATGTAAAATTATTAAAAAGCTTACACGTTTTGAATGACTGGGATCTTCCCACACAATAGCATCAACAGGTTGAGAATCTTTTGCAATAACTACGACAAGAAATGTACATTACACAAGTAAATAGTAATAAGCAAATATAGATATACTTACATTTCTGTATGGGATCAGAATGTTCTGTGTTGTATGTATTCGCATTTTCTCCGGAAAGAGAATATCTATTTTCAGGTGTACTTGATGTTCTTTGAAGTACTTGATCGAGTTGTGCAATTTGCCTGTAAAAAATAAACACTTGTGACGACATTATAAAGAGTCTTATTCAAAAAATGAAATATTTATATATTAGCTTACATGTTTATTTCATTATTTGGTAGTGGACTATTCTCATCGGTAAATTCTAATTTTCTATTAATGGGTGTAGTGGCAGTTATTTCACAATTTTTTGCTACTTCTGGTAATTCTGTTGCCATTGTACTATTATTAGTAGGTAACGTTTCATCTTCATTACTCTATTATAATGAAATATTTTTAAATCAATCTGAAATGTTTATCATAAATAAAATATATTACCTCTGGATCATGATCTTGATCTTTTAACTTCTTCCATAACTGTTTTTTAAGTTCTGAAAGAGGCTATAAATTCGATTGTATTAATATCTACGATATATTTACACATAACTAAGCCTATAAAAAATACTGACTGTACTAAGTGCTCTTTTTTTTAAAGGTGGTTCTTCTACTCTTAAATCCGGGAAGTTGTCAACCCATTTCACCCAACCTTTCCTCGTGTCTGGTGAAGGGTTGGGCTTAAATACTTGACCATATGGAGTTTCTGGTGTAGTCACATGAAATGGTGATTGTGGAGTTTTATTCATAAGTAAACTCAGTCGTTTATTTATTAACGGTGTATCACCGGAACTCCCATCTTGACTCTATTATACATTTTTCAGTAAATAAATTATAATATGTAATCTTTATGGATAATATTTTGATGTAACAAAAAAAGTGTATGTATACTTTTAAATTTTGTAAATGATGTTTTGGTGTAATAATATTCCTAGTTGTTGATTCATTTGGAGGGCCCATTTGATTTGAGATAATTTTAGATGAACTTACATGTGCATCACTAATTTGACTTAATTTTTCAGGAGCTTAAAAATTGATTAATATTAGAAAAACTTTCATCTGTGTTGAATGAATGTGTTAAATGTTTATTTACCTATTGTTTCTCCTACAAGAAATGGTGTTTCATCAACCCGTTTTGATTGAGCTGCACAGGATTTTAACCAGTTTGCGGTAACAGCTGGTAATTTCCATTTCACTGCTGCATTATACTTATTTCCCGTAGGTGTTGGGCAAACTAAATGTGTACTTCCATGTATATTTTTTTCAAGACTAGTTTTGCGAACAAAAATATCCTGACACCTGTAATTAATAATGCTTTAATATTTGAGAGATTATGTCAAAGATGCATAAGAAATATAAATACATGGCACCCAATTCCGTGGCTAATGTCGAGAGGTATGTTCGTTCTATTCCAGTATACATGCTCATTGTAATAACACAACCCGATAATGGATTTGAGTGTTTTTTTATAGATAGAGGTCTATGATAATACATAATTTCAACTATTTGTTCCGTATTTATACAATCTTCCTACAAAAATATTAATATTAAATATATTTATCAGAATATAAGAATATGAAAATAAAAAAATCGATACCTACGATAAATAAATTGGTAACAATTTCATTTACTGTGTGTTTTAAAGGTGCACCACATTGTGGCACAACACCATAGTCTGGAATGCCTGCAAATGTACTTGAAACTACTTTTCCATTCATTGCAGCAATAGTTTCAGCTACATAACTATCTTCATCACTAAAGCCAGTTACAACAAATGTCAGCCCTGTATATTTTAACATATTATTTTAGTTTATTATTGTCTATGTCTTATTATGTTTATATTATATTACCTTCAAATAATCTATCATTCAAAGTAGATATTTGACTGATTGGTACTGCGCTATCATCTCCTAAATATTTACTTTGTTCTGATTTATTTGTTTCAAATGCAGGGAAACATTTTCCTTCACTTTTTCGGTCAGTAATTAAAGTTTTATCACTATTTATTTCCGAAACAGGCGTATGTGGTTTCAAAAATTCTTGTATTGTTTTATCATTTGTTTCAACTAATAATAAATAAAATACATGTTTAATTTTTTAATAAAAAGTACAAGTAATTATTTATAAGTATTACCAATTGTATCTTGAAAATATTGTTGAAGGAGATCAGAAGATTCTTTTTCTTTTTCTAACATCGCTAATTTTCGATCTATATCAAAAGATGGTATGGAAACCTTTCTCGGTTTTTGTAGCATTTGTAAATTCTGAAAAAATAAATAAAATCATTAAGCATTTATATTATATATTGCATTTTTAATATATTCACCTTTTTACTTAATGGAGACGGGGGTTCTGTAACTTTTTCGTCCATGATACTTTTTTGTTCAGATAAGAAATTTTCCTCTGGTGCAGGTCGTTTTAATTTGATACTTTCTTCCAACCATTCCAGTGATAATATATATGGACTTCATAAAACATTTATAATATTAAAATACAAAATGAGATGGATTATATATCTATACACATCATTCATTCTTATGATACAAGAACAAATCTTTTAAATTGGAAAACTCAAAAAAAAAAAAAAAAAAAAAAAAAAAAAGGAAAAAAAATTAAAAAAAAAAAAAAAAAAAGA